CTGCGTCGAAGCGACCGGGCGCGCGCCACCTCTTTCTCTTCTTCGGTCAAGAAACGGGCTGACGCGGGATGATCAGGCAAGTAGAACCATGCTAAGAAGGCTGCCACAAGCGAGGGGCTGCCTTCAACCAGAAAAAGCAAGCGCCAATTAGCGATCTTTGCATGCCCGGAGGTGATACCATATGCAAGAGCGCCCGCAAATGTATTGGCTAGAGGCGCAGCTGACAAGAACAAACCGCAGCGGAGGCCGAGCTCTTGACGGCGATAAAAGAAGGAAAGCAGATAGGGTGACCCGGGACCAAAGGCGGCTTCGGACATGCCGAGCAGGAAACGCAGAGCCATCATCCCGCCCCAATTCTGTACTGCGGCTTGGCAGGTCGCAACAATACCCCTGCATCAGTCAGAAATACCGAGCGAGGTACCTTAATGCTATGGGTCTGTACATACCAAGTCATTACTGTGATAGCTGCCCACCTATGAGGTGGCATTATCTTCCACATTAAAGCCAAAAACTCAAACAGGGTGTAGGATATATAGAAAATAGTCAAAAGCCATGTATAGCGATTTCCCGTGAGGTGCAAGTCCTCTTCCATTCCTGCGATTTTGGCATTTCTGGCACGATGTCAGGCGACAGGTCACAGCTAGTATGCAAAGGTTGAGAAAACGTACCCGATATTGCTTCTATCCAGAAGGGAAAGAAGATCTGCATGTACACATCATATTAGATATGCTCCAAGAAAGACCAAAGGTGAATTGTGACAAAGCAGGATAAGAAGAAGTCGGATGAGCGGTGAAAGTGAGAGTGCGGGAGTAAGAAAGAATATTGGAACTTACACAAAAACCCTAGCAGCGTTGGAACCCTCAAGTCCAATTTTCTCAACAAGCGCGCTTCAACTGCGGGATCAATGGTAGGTGTGACCTGAGGGATCTGAGGAAGCGCCGTGTGAAGGTCCTCATCATGAGCGACTTGTTGCTTTTCTGGATCAGGCCCCGGAGCCTCAATGATGGCATCGACATGGCCCGTAGTGTCACCGGGAGCTTCCCTCTTGCCAAAGAAACCCATGACTCACTAAACGGAACGAAGAAGTAAGAAGTACAGATGCAGAACTCGGACCGAACAAGGACAGAATGCAGCAGAATGAGGGCGGCAGCAAGATTTATAGCATCAGCGCGATGCAAGAGGGGTGCTTCGCGTGGTCTGTCACCAATAAGACCTGTTTGAATGGGAGCCACGATTACGCGAATGTGTTCTCTCCTCTCCACGCCCCGCAGGTGAGGGATAGTGACGTTAAGCAGGGGTGGGAGGGGAGCGGGAGAGAACTACTGGATAGATCGGACGAGACAATTGCCTTTCCAGGGATAATGCCATCGCTTGCTCAAAGCCGAACGGCACTATAGGAGGGCTACACTCCAAGTGCTTGAAAAAGCCGAAGGGAAGACGCATGGGCTCGGGTCAATGACACACTCTGAAAGACCCAATCAAGACGAGTGCGGAGAGAAATCATCACTGCGCGGTGGGTGGCGGGTCAAAGCTTGGGTCCAATCCAACCTAGTTTTGCGAAAAGGCTTGGTTGGGAAGGTCGCAAAGGCATTGGGCGACGAAGAGGAAGAAGCGGCTGGATGTTTCAATATGAGTCGTTGGATGACCCTTGCCGACTATACTGCATGGTTCCCTCGCATGGACATAACGGCAGTTTGTGTGCGAAACACTGGAAGAATGCTGGATCGGTTAGAAAGATGAAGCAGGACATCAGGTTCCCTTGACGATGGGTCAACTCATTGACTCACTCCACGTAGGATGATCTAGTTAGTTAACTAGTCGGGGGGGGGGGAGGGCGGCTAAAACCATAGGACCCCAACATTGCGGGGATGGAGACTCGGATGCACGAATTGCACGCTTGGGGAAAGGATTAATGTGGGCTTTTCCGACGATCTCTGGCCAGCCGGGATCTCGTCTCAATCGGGAGCTATAGCAGCCTGGTGCTTCAGGCAGAAAATCTGCATGATGGGTCTCTCCCGTCGCCCGCAGGGGCCATGTCGGGAATCGGCCAGGAACCTCAAATTTCCGCGTCGCGTTGGCCTTCGCTGCTCTCCGTCCACCAGTCTGCGCTCGATTGTCGCCTGTCGGCCATCTTCATCACCGGATGCGCTTCGAAGTTACCATCCGCTAAACATCCCGCGTGCTAGGCGACCACCTTGATACCCATCTTCCCTAGTCCTTTCACGGTCTCTAATCATCATGGACGACCCAGCGAGCCGTGTTCCCGCGCAGTTGGTAGGTCATCCAGCTGAGACGTGCTGCTGCATAGTTAGAATGTCCGATTGCTAACCAGCGGCCTTTTCACTCGCTCATTAGCTGCCGCACATGCATCTGGTGTCGCGGCACCGTTATCCCCTTATGCATATGATGCCCACCGACACCGTCGTCGAATACCTCCTCTCCGCGCCCAAGATCGTCCGGGAGGCGCAACCGATGCATTGGACGTTCCTCGATGGCCCGCAGGACGGTTCTGTCATGCTCACCTGGCAGCCATTGAACCAGCTGGGAACCAACTTTGCTAGCGACGGTTATGTCTGGGCCGACGTCGAACAAGCGTTCACCTTCGAAGCTCGCGGCTACGTATGCGCATCCTGACCCTCTCTCCTACGTTGACGCGCTGATGGCTGACACGGAATACTCCAGCTGGTGGAGATGTGGCTGCATCGCAGTGGTTATCACCCACCCAACGAGACCCTGGCTATCCACTGCCGCAGACGTTACCGACTTCTGCCGTCGAAGGTCCCTAACCCGAACGTTCCTCCGCCTGACCCTTCCCTGTGGATTGTTCACTACTCGAGAGGTCCTCCCACCGACCACATCCCCGCGAACCGGATCCCCGTCATGCCTCCAGTCCAGAACATGCTGGCTCAACGGAGGTTCCTCCAGAGCCAAGGCCAACTTGCGCGCAAGGACTTCATGTTGCACGATCGCAACAACTGGCCAGCCATCAACTTCCCTCCGCAGATGGCTCCGCAAGGCTTCCCCCAGGTTCCTGGCGCATACCCGAGTGCCATGGTAGGACGCCAGCAGTTCTACCCCCCACCAGGCCCCGGTGTGCCGCCTCCGGCCGCTGCCACACCCGCCAAGGCCGCACGCGGGCATCGCGCTTCATCTGCTGCAGTCAACGCTGCCACAGCCGACTTTGCCCTTGAAGATGAAGACGTTTCGACTGGGGATGCTATGGACTTGCTTACTCCGCGCGAGATCAGCAAGATGAGATACCAGCAACACCACGAGTGGATGGAGGAGATCTTCGCCTCACCGTATGCTATCAACCAGATCACTCCGGTCTCATTGGGCCTGGGCCGGAAAGGAGAGCTGGAGTCGTTGACGGCGGGATTCTTCGATGCACCCGTGGGACCTGCCAATGGAGAGACGAAGGATGCCAACGCGTCAAGTCAAGCCGCAGAGAAGATGGAGCCTGCTAAGGCAGAGGAATTCGCAGACCGTGTTGCTAAGAAGGTCGCTGACATGACAGCTGAGATTGAGAAGCTGAAGAAGCGCCATGCGCGTCGTATGGAGAAGTTTAACCGCACCTCGCTGTTGAAGGACGCAGAACTCCGGCTCCGGGAAGCCGCAACAGACCCTGCAGAGACTGGCACAGAGACATGGAGGTTGGAAGGTCGTGTTGTGATGCCTTCAGAAGAAGATGACTCGCAGGCTCCTCAAGTAGAGAATCCGGCCAAGTACAAGGTTGACGACATTGTACGGGAGGTAGAGAAATCGTGGCAACGACAGATCGTACCGGAGCCCAAGATCTCCTGCGTGCAGAAAGGTGGCCTGCTGGAAAAGATCGAGCCTGAGCAGAAACCCGAAGCCCAAGCGGAAGGTGATATTGATATGGAGAACGCCGACAGCCATTTCCTTGACCAACTGGGCTCGCCATCTGCCGCTGGGGCCGTTCCTGCTTCATCCACCACCCAGGAGCCAGCAGCACCGACAGCCGCGCCCGCCGTTCCTCCCACAACCAGTGTACCTTCTGGGGGCGTACCCGTGCCACCGCAGCCACAGCCCACCGCCGACGCTACGCAGCAGGGTACGTCTCTTGACATCGACATGGATATGGGCGACGGACAGGCGACGAACACAGCCGCCGGGGAAACAGGTGACTGGGTGATGGTCAACGACGAGAAGAAGGAACAGCCTGCTGGCGGTGATAGCTCCCTACCGGGTATCAGCACCCCGGGTAGTGGCATCCAAGGCCTGACACCTGGAAACGGAGGGAGTGCCGGGGACTCTGCGCTGGACGGGGCCAACTTCGATTTCACGAATATGGATAGCGCAGGTGATGCGCTTGCAGCATACACCGAGCAGAACGAAGGGTTGGACCTCCCGGACCTGGAGAACTCGGCGTTCGGCGATGCATTCCACGCATCGGATAATGAGAACACCCATCACCACGATGCGGACGATATGGCTTAGGATTGCTGATCGCTGGGTTTCGGAATTCCTTGGGGTAGGGGACACGGTGTTTGTGGTGCTCTTGTAACCAATAATTGGCGCTGGGTTTGCTTTGCTTGAGCCCTTTCCGTGTAGAGAGGGGTTGTGAATGAGATTGCTATATTAGCTGTTAAGCAGCATTGTTAAACCTTGTATACTGAAGTAGGTGGAGGTGTCCGATCTCGGAGGTATGAGGAGTAGCCATCTGCACAGAGCTAATTCCGCGCCTTGACTGGATCATAGCTCAGATCAAGGCTTGTACCGACTATGCATGGCCGATGGAGAAGTCACCAGACCAATTTACCAACATCATGTCTAACCCATACTGATCTCACTTCTACATCCACCTCCACCTTCATCCCCATCTTTATCTCTGTCTCATTAAATCTTTCAGACCCTCGCTGCACCCATGACAGACATTCATAAACAAACTAGCACTATCGCAGATATGATGCGCCCACCCGATACCCAATAACCCTCATATCATCCGCCTAAGTGACGCTATCACCGGGCCCGACCATCCGCATGACAGGTTACCCCGGTCAAGTGATTCCCGCATGGCTATCAAATGTACAAATGTATATAGAAAACATGGGTATCTCCCTCTTTCGTTTTGCTATTTTTTTGGTATGACTTTACTCTCTGTTATCCACAACAATGATACCTACTAGTTACAATTTACATTTCCCCGAGAACTAAGGCTTATCGATATCCTACCAGCTATACTATACACACTATACACTCCCCCACACTTCTTCCATCCAAATCCTACACCATAAACCCAAAGAAGAAGAATAAGAAAGAGAAGAATGTGCCTCCCACCCCTCTCCGACTCACTCTCCCTCCCCAAACTCCTCAATCTAAACCTCGACTCTTCTTCCTCCCGATCCTCCTCTCCCTCACCACCGCCACGATTCCACGATCGCCATCATCACCACCACCACTTCCGCAGACGACGAAGATCCAACAGCTCATGCAGCACCTGCAGCGACACCACCAGCTCCAGCTCCACTACGACCTCCATCTCCATCCGCCCCCCACCGCGAAGCTACCACCCGCCTCAACCGTCTCGCAAGCCTCCGCCTCCACCTGCTCTTCGAGAGCGGGAGCGAGATACCTACCGAGCAAGTCGGAGTAAGGTTCGAGATGTTGAGGAGACGTTCATCCCGCTGCCGCCGGCGAGGCCTGTCAGGATTGCGAGGCCGTGGCCGCGGCCGAGATTACCGCCCCCGCCTCCGCCGGTGGTGGTGATTGATGTCAGAGAGAGGGAGAGGGAGAGGGAGTACTGTCAGTTGCCGGCTGTGGAGGCGGAGGAGGTGGAGTGTGTGGGGATTTTTGAGCCTGAGCCTGAGCAGGAGGAGCGGGAGAGGGTGGAGGAGTGGGTGGTTATGAGGGAGAGAGGGGGGTGGAGGAGACCTAGTGGTGGTGGTATTGTTAGTAGGGAACGGGGGAGGCGGAAGGAGGTAGTTGAGGATGAGGAAGTGGATGAGGAGGTGGATAGGGTGGAGGAAGAGGGAAGGAGGAAGGTGAGGGTTGAGTATATTCGGGCTCGATAGTGGAGTGGGATGCTGTGTTTATGGTATTTGGATTTTAAGTATATAGATTCGTTTCACATATGCGGTTTACTGTTACTCAGAGATTTATGAATCTTACTTGGCGTCCTCTTGGGGCAGTCGCTCCATGAGATACCCGTTATACTTCACGTCTACTGTATAGAGTTCAACGAGCAACTAACTTCCCCTTTACCCATGGAACCATCGCGATGCATCATGGCTGGGCTGTACTGCAACCGGCCGATGACCTCAATGCCCATCCGTGTCCTCCGCATGACGTCACGGTCTTTGTCCAGAGGGTCTTTTTTTTGTTCAGATGCAAGAAATAATTGAACTATTGATCAATGCCATTTATCCCTCGTACCCCACAGAATTGATCTATCAATGAACCGATCGTGGGTTGATTGGTATAGCTACTGCAACTAATTGTCGATCATCGGATAGGATCTGCCATCCGTCCGTTCCAGAAGAAGTATCATTCGAGGAAGGTGCAATCCTTACTCTATCATTGTTAGCTCGTCGTACCTCTTTCAAACTACCTTGTGTTACATTGAATTGTGAGAATTGGCACCGTGGATAACCTAGTTAGTTCGCAATCATGTATATCGCTCCCGTCTCTCCAGGCACATTATATTGTGATACTGACCAGCTTAGGAATCGCAACCTCTCCCACAGAAGGAGAAGCTCATTGACTGCTCGTCCTCGGTTCCGCTTCTCTACGCTGCGCGGCTTTCAGCAGCCCGAGCTGAGCAAGAAGCTGAACCAGGTCATCAAGAACGAGAATGCTGCTATTGGTGCTCATGAGAAGGCGAGTCGCGAGCGCGTGTCTATTGCATCCCAGCTGTCCGAATGGGGTGAATGGACTGAAGACGATGCTGTCGCCGATATCACCGACAAGTTTGCTGTCCTGATGGCCGAGATTGGCGAACAGGAGGATACCTTCGCTCAGTATCTCGAGGAATACCGCATTGTGCTGAAGCAAATTCGCGACACGGAGAACTCGGTCCAGCCGTCCCGCGACCAGCGGGCCAAGATTGCAGATGAGATCCAGAGACTCAAGTGGAAGGAGCCACATAGCCATAAGATTGATACCCTGGAACAGGAGTTGGTCAGGGCGGAGGCTCAGAGTCTCGTTGCTGAGGCGCAGTTGACTAATGTGGTAAGTATTGAGATCAATGCAGCATGCAATATCGCAGAAGCTAAAGTTCGAGTTTAGACCAGGTCGAAGCTCAAGGAGGCATTAGACATCCACACTGCTGCGGTCATTGAACGAAACGAGAAACAGATCTTGCTTGCTCGTCATGCGCGCCGCGTTCTGGAACAGCTGGACGACACCCCGGTTGTTCCTGGTGACTCCCCACGCGAGTACGATCGCACATCTTCTACGAGACAAATCCTCGAGGAGGCTGAGAATGATCTCCGTTCTTGGGAGAGCACCACTGTGCCTATCCAGAGTGCGGCAGGGGAGCTCCCGGACAGTACCCTTTTGCCAACTGCCGCCCGTAGAGCTACCAATGGTCGCGCATCATATGCGGCTGACACTGCGGTCTCGGACTCTGTGCGGGACGTCAATGGTTCTGCGGAACCTTCTTATGTCAATGGCGCTGGTCATGAGAGATATACAAACGGCACTGGTGTGGAGCAATATGCCAATGGTACAGGCCAGGAGCGATACGTTAATGGCTCTGGCCAAGAACGATATGTAAACGGCACTTGCCAGGAAAGATATGTCAATGGGAACGCTGCGGAGCGACAAGTCAATGGAAGTGGCCGGGAGCAGTATACTAGTGGTACCACCACAGGGGCCTATGCCAATGGAGGCAATGCGCGATATGTCGAGGGAGTCGCGCCGGAAGAGTATGTGGATCGAAGTGCCACAGAAGAATATGCTGGCCGTTCTCAGGAGCAGAGCGCCACCGGTGTGACCGAAGAGCAATATAGCAGCCGTGCTCAAGAGCCGGTCGCCGCCAGTGCTGGCGAGGAGCGATACCCTGGTCGCCCTCTAGGACAGGTTTTCACTAGCGCTGCCGATGAGCGGTATGCCACCGGTGGCACAGAGGGGCCATCAGTCTCCGCTGTTGAGGAGCAGATCACTCCTACTGCTGCACAGGACATATACTCCAGCCAGACAGGCCGAGATCAGGTGGCAGATGGATCTGTCCGGGAGGAAACTCTGAAAACAGAGGAGGAAGAGGGAGTGCGACGAGCACCAGATCCACGCCTCTCATACACCTCACGAGGCTCCGAAGCTCCGCAAATAATCAGCCCAGTACCGGTGCAGGCTCAACCTGTGGCAGTCCCCATCTGAGCTGAGGACTGGGGGTAGTGTATTGGTTTCTAGCTGTGCTCGTTATTTGTAATTGTAGTTTTAGTACGTACAGTATTTGACTTATATGTATAGCCGCTCTAAAACTGGGAGCCCTGACACAATACCGTCAGCAGGGTGGCTATTGTTGTAACTAGTTGAGCAAATATGAAGTTTAATACAAAGTAATAGCACAGGAACTTGATAATTGGTGGAGGGTCGTCACGTGATCCAGGCGGCCAGCGTGACGCGGACGCCGGCTTGGGAGCTCCAAAGCATCATCTCAGAGCTCCGAGCTGCACCCGCCATTGCCATCTCCCTCTTCCATCTTCCCTCTCGCACCCAACATTATCCTCCAGAATATATCTCCTCGTTGCTTCCTTGAATCTACCAACACATCTTGCACAATATGGATAAATTGGTCGCTCAATACTCCCGCCCGCCGCATCAGAATGAGTTCTACTCAGAGCAAGAGCAGCGGGACCTCACAGAGAGCCTTCCTCCGCTCTCTCTGAAGTTCAACCTGCCTCCTGTTGATAACGTGAGATATACACCTTGTGAAGCTGCTTGTCTGGGGTCAGGTTGTGGAAAAGTTACAGCTACCTAAGATCGGGCTGAACATTGGACCGACACTCCTACATGCCTCTTACCAATCGCGGAACCAGTGGCTGACATCTTTCTGTATCTCCAGTCTAGAGCCTTCCTCCGTGCTATGACCGATGACCACTCGAATCCCAGCTGCCCCATCAAACTTGCCCATGGAACGACGACACTGGCCTTCCGATTCCAGGGCGGAATTGTATGCCGTCATCACTGCCTCCGCCACGTCTCGCACTGACCATCGTTCTCCTAGATCGTCGCTACGGATTCGAGAGCTACTGCTGGAAACTGGATTGCGAGTCAGACAGTCAAGAAGGTTATCCCGGTTTCACGGTTGAGCCGCGGGGAGGACAAGCCGTCAAATGAGCCCACTCCCGGCCTTTTGGGCACCATGGCCGGAGGTGCTGCGGTATGTGCTATCCGTGTGGAGAAATTCGTGCTCTATGCTAGGGTTATGAACTAGTATGAATAGCTGATGACCGGTCATAGGATTGCCAATACTGGTTGAGATATCTGAGCCAGCAATGCACACTTCACGGCAAGTTCAATCATCCACTGTTTTCAAGACATCATTAACATTAAGACAGAAATCCGTCACAAGCGCCGTATCACTGTTGCCGCTGCGTCGAAGATTCTCGCCAACCTGACATATGCCTACAAGGGAATGGGTCTGAGCATGGGAACGATGTTAGCAGGAGTACGTGAACCCTTCCTATAAACATTATGCATCGATGCCCAATCTAACTCACGACTATAGATGACGCCCCAAGAAGGACCCGCTCTCTACTACATCGACTCAGACGGCACCCGACTCCCCGGAAACCTGTTCTGTGTCGGATCCGGTCAGACCTTCGCATATGGTGTGCTTGACGCCAACTACCACTACGACTTGACCGAGGAGGAGGCCCTTGAGCTCGGCCGCAGAAGTATCCTTGCTGCCATGCACCGTGACGCGTACTCTGGTGGTTTTATCAACCTGTACCATGTCAAGGAAGAGGGATGGGTGCACCACGGCTTCAACGACATGAACCCGATATTCTGGAAGACGAAGCTGGAGAAGGGCGAGTTTTCGAATGTCACGTCGGAGTTGTAAGCGCGGGAAGTGCTGATGGGTTCTGTATGGTGGATATGATACTCTTATTTTAGGCCTAAGATATTTATTATGTGATGCTCCTTGATACAGTAATAATAAGAGTAGTCGTCTTGTAATCATGCCAAAAGTACCAACCACACAGCCCCTACAATCTATAGTAACAGAAACGAACCGTAAGAACTAAATAAGATGATCATAGTTATATGGAAAAGAAAATAAATACATAATGCATACATAACATACATACATCCCCAAGAAGCCAAACATCAAACAACTTTATAGCAAGTAAAGCAGTGCTGAATGCGCCCCCAATCTAACAACGAACAAAAAAGGTTTGCTTTTTATATCATCATCATCTCCCCCACACAGATAAAAATAGAAATAAATATATGCACCCTAATTATCCACCCAGAACTTCATACGAATACCCATAGCCGCCAACTCAACATCCAAGTACCTCAAGACACCGGGCACCGCCACAATGGTAACATTATCACCACCAACATAGCGACGACCATCACCATCCTCCCAGACATCCGCGCGGGAATCCTCAAAGACAGCCTCCCTAGCACAACGGCGACAACGAACAATACTGGGCGCTCCGCTAATAGCATTCGCGCCGGAATGCTGATTCGAAGCGGCCTTCGCAGCGGCAATACGAGCCTTGCTTGATCCAGCAGAGGACACAGCCACCTGGGTGGAGAGGAAGGAGCCGCAGTCGCGACAGATCCAGGAGCGGGTAGCATCGGAGCAGTTCATGAGACGGTCCTGAAGGATGTGGGCGGCGCCGTGGGCGATGAGGGAATCGCGCTCCATTTCTCCGACTCGGATACCACCTCCCTTGGCACGACCCTTGACGGGTTGGCCGGTCAGTTGGTTGACGGGACCGGTGGTACGCACTTGGAACTTGTCGTTCACCATGTGACGGAGACGTTGGTAGTGGACGACACCGATGAAGATGTCTGCTGCGAATTCCTTGCCCGTGATGCCGCTGTATAGGGGCTCGTTGCCGAAGTAGTTGTATCCGGCTTTGCGGAGCTGGTGGCCGAAGTAGTCGGCCGCGGTATTTTCTTCGGAGAATTGGAAGGGCGTGGAGTCTTGGGGATGGCCGTGGAGGGCACCGGCTTTGCCGGCCATTGATTCGATCATTTGGGCGATGGTCATTCCTGGTGGTGGTGGTTAGTGGGGAT